TGCCAGAGCCAACACATCTGCAAAACAAAACATGTAAAGAGATTATCATAGAAATTCAACGATACTGATACTGAGTGACTCTGGAAAAGATCAGTTTATGTATTACAGTAACTAGATGATAGAGAGCAAGACAGGAATCAGTCAGCACAGTCAAACGTCAATTATTTGATGCACTATATTTTGAAAACTTTGTGGTTTATTATTTATAAGCTCTTCAACAAACTTCAAGCTTCATCAAAAACAGTAATTCTTTTTGTATTTTTATTACAGACTAGAGAGTTGTCAAATAATAATCTGTTCATTTGGTAGTGCTTTATAAGTTAACCAAAGGATACCTTGGTTTTGTATTTGATTAAGGTTGTGAAGGGCAGACAGTGAGAGTAATGTTTATAAAAGGGGTACAGTCTTGTATGATTTATCAGTTAGAATGACAGTGATGTACTATCTCTTCAACGTCCCATACAAAGAAAGGTCAATATTTTATTGATAGCAAATTCAATTCCCTTTTGTGATCATCTATTCCAGAAGCTAATACATTGTGAAGAGCTGCTTACCTTTGTCATCATTGTAGCGAGGTGCTCCCTGTCTCTGACGATTTGCAGCATTAATTATTTCATCTTTACGACGTGCTTGCGTGACATGAATGGCTTCCAAATGACAATTGAGAGTTGACGATATATTAGCATGAATAGCAGAACTTTGAAGACGTTCCATTTTTCCAAGCAAAGTCAAGACCTGCCACACAATTAAGAGTCAGAAATGCTTCCACTCTTAGTGAACATTAAATGGTCAAATTTAACAGTGCTAAGCAGTATAATGATAGGTACTTCTCCATGATGTTCCTCTTTCATCTCCAATTTACAAAATGGAAAAACATAATCTCTGCCATGAATCAGTTTACCAATCTCAATCATAACTCAATTGATAGTATTGCTTGCCTCAGAGTCAGAAGGTGATGAGGTTCAAATCTGGTAATAATGAAGGAAGGTTGACACTCCTACTGAGGTGACATCTGTTGAAAAGGCAATACCTCACTACTGGTAATCCAGAGACCTGGACATGCTTTAGGGTGGGGGGTGCTGGTGACAGCAGCATGTTACACTGACTGGAGGAGTTTAGGGATTAGGAAGCAAGAATACATGGTAGTATGTTGTGAGGATGTGAATGATGCAGAGAAATGGGAAATGATATGACAAGGATGAAAAGAAGAAGAGGTTCTGAGAGCATGAGTAACGAATTAGCATGAAACGGAGAATTAAAGAAATAACGTTGCAATTGACACTAATTTCACTGCATCATCAACGCCGGATTGCATGAAGTTTCATGGCATCCAATCCAGCAGTTAATGAAAGTTCCTGCTAATTATCATCCACTGCCTTCCCTCAGCTAATGAATCTATGCTCCTCCATGTTGAACACTATTTGGAAGAAGCACTGAGGGTAATCAGAGCACAGAATATATCCTGGTAGGGATTTCAATGTCCACTACCGTGACAGATCTAGCTGGTTCCTGAAGGACATTCCTTCTAGACTGCACATGTAGCAGGCGGTGAGAATCCAAAACCTACTTGGCTTCATCCTCATGAATGTACCTATAGCAGATGCATCAGTCCAAGAATAACCACCATATAGTCTTTTTGGAGATGAAATCCCCATTCTCCAACATGTTGAAAGGCATTAACACTGTATTAGCTATATATGAAATCCATAACTACTAGATCTAAATTGAAAATAAGCTTCGTTGCCACTAATATTTTTCTTTTCTTCATGGACGTCCAAGGTCTATGTGTGGCAGCAACTTCTGAAAGTGGAAGTCATTGCGAGGAGTTCCATTGGCCTGCCAACTGTGTAGGCCCTTGAAGCGGCTACATCTAGGCTGTATGGATATGCAATGTTCATGAAGTGTTGTGAGCCATCAGGGACATTTGATTTATTTTCAACCATCTTCTCTTGCAGATTTACAAAAGTCCAATTCAGACAGCCAAGTTACAGTACTGTGTGCTGTTAGGTGAATTGCCTTAAACGCAAATTTTTGTAGGCCACATTAAACATTTTATTACATTGTGAAGTAATCTGGGTAATAACAGTTGCACGCTGAGCTGTCCTAGAAATTCCTTTTATGAACAAGATGCAATGTCCTTGCAAGGAGAATGCGGATCCTGTTGGCTCAGGGAGGCCAAATCCTCGAGGATCTACAGAAAACCACTCAAGTAATTAAGACATATAGAATTTTGACCTTCAATGCTATGGGGTTCAAGTTTAAAAATAGGGAAGTCTTGTTACAACTGCACAGGGTGTTGGAGAGGCCATGTATTTAAGATATACTGAAATTGGGGGCAGTTCAAAAGAGATTCACTTGGTTGATTACTGGGACTAAGGGTCTGACTTACTAAGACAACAGGTTCAACCTTTATTCATTAGAAGGATGAGAAAGATTCTGAGGGAGCTGACAGGGTAGATGTTAAAATGTTTCCATTAGTAGGGGAATCTCAAACTAGGGGACATAGTTAAAGAATAAGGAAGCATTCATTTAAAACTGAGATGCAAAGGAACATTTTCCCTCAGAAGGATGTGAATGTCTAGAATTCTCTACCCCAGAGAACTGTGGAGCTAGATCAACAAAAATATTTAAAGAGGAGGTGGACAGATTTTGAAATCATCAATTTGAGAGCTAAAGAGGTGACATGAAAAAGGCTCTGGGAAGATCAGGCATGAACTTATAGAATTACAGGGCAGGTTTGAGGGGCTGAATGATGTAATTCTGCTTCATCAGATCATTTGATTTTTTTTGGCAAAATCTGCATACTTAAAAGTTATACATTAACAATCCGAATGAAGGAACTGAGAGCATTGTTGGATTGGTGGAGGGGCAGGAAGTATTTGAGGAAGTGGAACGCTGCAGAAGCACTTGGACAGGCCAGGAGACTGGGCAAAAAAAAAAAAAATGGCAGATGGAATACTTTGTGGAAAAATGTAAGGTTTTGCAGTTTAGAACGAAGAGTAGAGGAGTAAACTGCTTTCTAAATAGGCAAAGGCTTTAGAAATCTAAAGCAGAAAGAGACTTCATTCCACACACAAACCACTCTGTAAAAAAAAAAAATTGCCCCTTATGACTTTTTTAAAAATGTGCCCCCTCGTCTTGAAATCCCCCAACCTAGGGAAAAGATACCTGCCCTTCACCTTATCTACACTCCTCATGATATTATAAACCTCTATAAGGTCACCCCTTAACCTTCTACTCTTCAGTGAAAAAAAAAGTGTTTTAGCATTATGGCAGCTGCCCTCTGACCAAAGAGGGTAGCATGTTCTGAACAGCATACAAAAAGTAAGACTAGCAGTACAAACAGTGAACTACTTAGTTTCCAGGTAATGTTTATTCTGGTCTTGGTCTTTTCTATGACTGTTTTGCCAATCCAGGGTGACCGCAAGGTATCTGGGTTATGGGTCATTCTTAATTGATGTGCTGGGAGATACTTGAAGTTCACAGTTAGACAGTCAGTTGCTGAGGTGTAAAGCAGGGACTGTGGTCTCAGTTCAATTTGGATGGTGATGCCAGTAGTTAATGGTCACTCTGTCACCTCCAAGCCCTGGGACAAGGAACTACTGAGAGTTGCTTGTGTGGGTAGCAAGGGCCAGATCATCTGTATAAGCAAACTGCCTAGAAATGCTTGGAGGCATGTCACTCATACACTGAGGCACAAGAAACAACAATGGCAGACTCAGCCCCGTTGTTTTGCAAAGTCCCCCTTATCAACATCTGGGGTAGGTCCAGACTTGGGAGTGCCATCTGAAAGACTGCTCAAGCAAAAACGTGATTCAGTCATATTCATGCAATATGACACTACCCCACTGACATTGTCCCAGATGCCAGAATCACCATCACCAGATGTGTGCTGTTCCATTCATAGGACAAACTCTCCAGAGGTGGCAGCACAGTGACAAATAGTCAGGAGACAGTTGCACTGGGGTTCCTCAACTTTGTTATTGAACCTGATGATGAAGTCTCATGGCATAAGGTCAAACATGGGCAGGAAACTTCCTGATCACATCGCAGGTGATGAATTCAGAACTCCACCAGGCTAAATTCATGACGGTATCAGCAGGAGTGACCACCACGCAGTCCTTGTGGAGACAACGTCCCATATTCATAATGTGGAGGTTGCTTAGCTCAGTTGGCAGAACGGCTGGTTTGTAATGCAGAATGACCCAGCAGCTTGGGTTCAATTCCTGCACCTGATGAGTTACCATGAAGGACTTTCCTTCACTACTATTCTGTTTGCCTGAGGTATGATGATCCTCAGGTTAAACCACCACCAACTGTCTGTCTCTAATGAAAGAGCAGCCCTATAATCTATGTCAAATTTACCTTTGATTTAACACTCAAGACAAGGATCATGACGCATCCGCATCTTGATCATCAACAGCAGGACTGTATTCAACTAGAACTTACAACTTCCTGGCTTGGCAGATGCCAGAAATTTACCATTACTATCACACCAGTTTTTCTCTTGCATAGTCCAGAGCGATCATGGAAAACAGACAAACCACCTCCAAATTTGAATTAAAATGTTAAGGATTCTTAGTGCTTACAAGTTCAACTGCTGGTACAAGTAATAAATCTGTTCCCATAATTCTAATTTTGTGGCCAAGAACAGAAAAGGAAATAGGTAATAGTAGTGAACGAGTGTTAGCGTGGGAATAACTAAATATTTTCAAGTTGCAATTTACATTAACAAATGCTTAGTACTTATCTAATATTCCTCATAAACACTCTTTTTTAAAAAAGTAGACAAATAAATAAAATTGTATATAAATGATTTACTGGGTAGAGTCATACAGAACGGAAACAGACCCTTCAGTCCAACTCATCCATGCCAACCAGGTATTCTAAACTGAACTAGTTCCATTTACCCATGTTTGGCCCATTTTTGACTAAATGAAGGCCTGACAGAACAGGAAAAATAACAAAGACAAATGGTGTTAAAAAATTAAGCATTAAACAAAACACAAATATGAAACATACCCTAGCTTGTTCACGTAACTGATCAACAATTAAACGATCTACTCTTGAAGGGTTGGAAGGCAGGCGAGGAATAGGAGTATTGTTTGAACTGGACACTCGCTTTCCAGGAAAATTTCTTGCAAGCTCTGCTTCAGTCTGTAATAAAAAAAGTGAATTTAGATAAGGTTTTGAATTTGTCTTCATAGTTTGCCTGTTGTTAGAATGCTGTGGGGAAAGTTTAATTAATAGGTTTGCATTATCTGTGAACATGAATGGATACAATTGTACAGAAACATCAAAATTTACAAATGAAATGAATCAAAGAACTGCTGAATAATCAGGAATACTCAAGTGAAATAGAGAATTTTGGAAATTCAGTTAGTACATTTTCAATACAACGAAGCATATCAAATAAGGGAAAAATTCTTAATATGCAGAATAGCAATATTTAGAACCAGATCTCTCAAAATAATTCTTGGTATTTTTTAAAAAAGCAAAAAAATGACATCCTACTTTCTAAATCTAGGGGCATTAATTGTAAATGCAATTGTAAAGGCAATAGTGAATCAATACAAAGCATTGGTTGGGCCACAAATGCAGTACTTTTCATTGTCTACACATCTCTGCCTGCAATTCACAGAGCATCAAAGTATCAACTCTGTCGCTGATAGCCACACTGACAAGCAACCAAGTGCTCTTCTGTTCTTAGCCAGCTGGGAAATGCAGCTAGGCCTCAAGAAGGAAGATGAAAAGAGGTTCATTACAGTAGGGACTCCTTCATTACTCAGGCCTTGTCCTTTCTCCCTCCCTCAAGCAGAGTAGAACTGGAGAAATCAAGGTGATATGCAAATCTAGTGCAGAGTGGGAAACAACACTGCTGTAATATGCAAAGTGTAGATCATGTATCTTGTAGTGGTAAGTTTAATTCTGACATAAAGGCAACTAAGGTGAGGGAATTTCCATCTAAATGATATTTAATACTGACATCAGAAGAGTTGATCTTCGATGAAGTGAATGGGTCAAGTAGACTGTAAACAGTATAGGAGCTAATACAGCCTTGTTTGACCATTCTGAAGACATCTGTTTCAGATCTGCTAGTCAAGACAGCTGTTGTGATATTAACAAGAAGCAAACTCAGGAGTGTGAATAAGTTTCTTGGACGCCCAAATCTCTGCAGCACAGTCTACAAAGCCTTCTGATCCACTGAGTCAAATGATTTGGTCAGATAAATCAATGTAATGAAGAGTTCCAGGGAGAAGACAGTTCTAGAGAAACTCAGGTCTGCACAACTTTGGAGAAAGAAAAATAGTGAATGTCGAATACGAGAAGATTGATCTTCATAACTTTTCATATCAGTCTCAAAACCTTAACTCTGTTTTTCTTTCCACGGATGCTGCCAGCCATGCTAAATTTAATCAGCACTTTTTCTTAAATTTGGATCTCCTGCATAATCAGTATTTTGCTTTTACTGAATAATTTATACTGTTTTTCTTGATTTTTTTCTTGGGCTCGCTTGGCAACAAAGACCATGTCAAGAAGTTCCTCTGGAAGGTCTAAATCCACAGTGTCTCTGCTAGACTTCCTCAGACAAGCATGCACGCAAATCAGGAGAATGCACGTCAGATTTTTCCTGCTAATGACCAGAAAGAAATACCCTGACAGCTTCCACATCATGATCCATTTCCCTTTTTGAAGACAGTTACAATTGTCACATTCCTGAAGTTGAGGCAGTGGGTTAGGGGAGGTGATGTGCTTTTCCTTTCCAAGCCCGTAGGATGAACACGTGGAATCTTTACATAAGCAAAATAAGTTGGCAGAAGGTGTATAAAGTGAGGAAATATGAGGTTATTCATTTTGATAGAAAAGTTAGGAAAACAGACTTATTTCAATTGATGAGAAGCTATTAAATGTTGTCTTCAGAGGAATTTGGATGCATAAAAAAACAGAAAAATTAATATGCTGGTCCAAACATTTAGGAAGATGAATGGCATGTCTGCTTTCACTACATGGGCTTTGCAGCTTTAATTGCAGAGATTTGTGAAATCACACCCCAAAATATCATGTACAGTTTCATTCTCTGCACTCAAAAGATACACTTGTCTTAGAAGGACCATGACAAAGATTTCATGCAATCGAGTTCCGGGGCGCCAGTGCTGTTCAAGGAGAAGAAATCTGATCGGATGTGTCTACACACTTAAGAGTTAGAGAGAGAACAATTATTAAATTGATTACATTGCTATGTATAAGATTGAGATGCCTTGACAATATTGATGTTGACAGGCTCTTATCATAAAAGTAGTGATGTGAAAACATGGCTCATAAGACTTGTGTGGGCTAAGTGAATTCAAGTTCATGGGACAGTGACATAAGCACTGGGGAAAGTGGAGATTGTACCACTGGTACACCAAGAGCTTTAAACTAAACAATAGATGTCAAGAATCTAGCTTGGGTGGATGTAGAGAATCAAGGTAAGAGAGCAAAATACTACTGTGGGAAATTAAGGTCAGAGAAAGGCAGGAACATTCAAGAATAGATGTTACAAAGATAACAGGACAACAAACTAAATACCTCTATACCAGTCCAGCTTGTCCCTGCCTCCCTAACCTGTTCTTCCTCCCACCTATCCCCTCCTCCCACCTCAAGCCACACCCCCATCTCCTACCGACTAACCTCATCCCACCCCCTTGACCTGTCCGTCCTCCCTGGACTGACCTATCCCCTCCCTAACTCCCCACCTACACTCACCTTTACTGGCCCCATCCCCGCCTCTTCGACCTGTTTGTTTCCTCTCCACCTATCCTCTCCTCTATCCATCTTCTATCCGCCTCCCACTCTCTCCCTATTTATTTCAGAACCCCCTTCCCCTCCCCCTTTTCTGATGAAGGGTCTAGGCCCGAAACGTCAGCCTCTCTGCTCCTATGATGCTGCTTGGCCTGCTGTGTTCATCCAGCCCTGCACCTTGTTACCTCTATATCTGAATGTGCATAATATTCATAACACAGTAAACAAACTAATTGCACACAGTGAAGTAAATAAATATGATGTAATTGTCATTGCAGAGATGTGGCTGCATAATGACAAGGATTGTATCCTGAAAACTGAGCAGTAAAACAGCATTCCAGAAGAATAGAAAGTGAAGTAAAGGTGGAGGGGCTGCACTCTTCCTAAAGATTAACAATGGTACAATAATTAGGGGTAACCATTGTTCAGGAGACCAAGACATATTATCAGTTTGGGTGGAGATTAGGATATAGTAGGGAAAAAGGAAAATAAGTCACCAAAAAGAATGGTTTATAAACACTCTAACAATAATCACAACATAGGACAAAGGATATAAAGATTGAGTGGACGCTTGTGATAAATAGATGGCAATTAATCATGGGTGATTTTAATCTACATGTAACTTACAAAATAAGGCTGCATAATGAGCATGAAAGCTAAGCTAGCTGAAATGATCTGGAATACTAGGCTAGGAAACGCATTTGAGGGGGTTTTCAAAATTCTTCTGTGGGAGATGAGTGTGCCATTTGTAAGTGCCCATGAAATGAGTGACATCCTAAGCCAATTCAAAGCACAATTAAATGTTATCGCTGTTGCTTTGGATCTGGAGTCACATGTTGGCCAGATTGGGGTAACAATGGCAGACTGCCTTCCCTAATGGGCACTAGTGAACCAAATGGGACTTTATAAAATCAATGATCATTTCAAGATTATCATTAATGAGACAGCTAATATTCCACCAACTGTTATGGTGAAATTTGAACCCCTGTCTCCTGACCATTAGTTTAGGTCTATGGATTGCTAGCCGAGTCACATCACCACTGTGCCACCATATACCCCAAAAGAACATTTCAGAATACTCAGCATAAGTATGTTCATGACAGAAGGAAAAAATTATAAGAGGAGGATCCACTGAAGTAGTGAGGTGTGATATGATTGAATAATTCAAAGGTTCTAACTCAACTTGACAAGGTGGTCATAGAAAGGAATTTTCCTCGTAAGTCAATCTGGAATTCAGGGCACTGTTTAAAAGTTAGGGGTCGTTTTTTTTTCGGCCAGAGGTATGGAGAGGTTTTCTCTTAATAGGTTGTGCATCTTTGAAACTGTCTGCCTTAGAAGGTAGTGGAGGTAAATTCAGTGCATATTTTTCAGGTGAAGGTAGATAAGATTCTTGTTAGGTAGGAGAATGAAAAATTGAGGTTACACGAGGATGTGTAATTCAAAACATAAACTTATCAGCTGTGATCTCATTGAATGGCACTGCAGGTTTGAGGGGCTTTATGGTCTTCTTTCACTCTTAGTTCATGTGTTCTGTTTGCAGGACAGTTCAGAAGAACAGGATGTAGTCCAAGATGTGGATTAACAATAGCAAACTGAGCGGAGGGGAATTTCCTCACTCAAGGTTGTGAACCTTTGAATAACTCAGTTGTTTGAGTAGATTTATGGCTGAGATCAAATCGAATTTTGGACTGTAATGGAAGAAGGAATTTGAAGATTATCAACCTCACTTTTTTGAGCATTCAGCTATCATCTTGTCGAATTGAACAGCAATGCTCAAGAAGACACATGCCAGTTTTCTATTTCTCATGGTCTAGAGGCCAAGCATTTAACCATGACAATAGTATCTTTAACTAGCCTAACAGGACAGCAAAAGTATGCATACGTGTGTTTTAAATAGCTTAAAAGGTAACTTTCACAATTAAATGGAACAAATGCTTTTAATATTACCTTGACTATAATTAGTCCATTATTAGTGAGAATCAACTCTAATGTGCATGATCTCATCTCTTAAAATGTTTCAAGCTTTTCAACTTTCATGCATTTAAGTTGATTCTTTTCAAAATGCTTAATGCTAGACTCTTGTACAGTATATTGTAATGGTATACCACGATAAGTAGCTTGACAAAGGATAAGAAATATTTTTAAACTCCAGCTTCAAATCCCTTTTCTAGGACCTTCTATTTAACTACCTGATTGTTAATACATTTCCTACAAATGATTAAGTAATTCATTCCAGCATCTTCAAAGATCAGAAATAAATTTAAATGACAAAAATAATTGGAGATTAATTCGTGTAAATTCTTTACCTTTTTCCTCTCCTTTTCCAAAGCCCGCCATTGCTCATAACACTCTTCCAGTCGTATGTGAAGTTCATTTGCTGGACCACTACGATTTTTCATAGGTCTGTACTTGGAAAAAGGTGGTGGAAAACCAAAGTAGGGTGCGATCACATCTCCACCAAAAAGGTCATTCATAAAAGGGTGCAGCTGATTAAAGTCATCATAATGAAAAAAGTCAATTAATTCAGGGAATGGAAATGTTGAAGGACTGAAAGGAAAACTAGGTGAGGAAAACCCATGTGGGCCAAATTGAGAGAAGTTTTGATTCTGCTTAAAATCAGGCATCATGAATGGGAATGGAGGTACAAAGGAATGATTAATGAAATCAGACAAACTGCTACCATCCTGTTCTTGTTTTCTATAACCATTATATTGTTGGTGATTTTGACCAAAAGGACCCGACTGCAAAGAATGTGGATACCCATTTTTCCGCCCTCTCTTATCATCTCTGTTGTTAGCACCATTATGTCCATGTTTATTGGCAAATCTGAAATATTTCCCCGACTCATCATTGCGACGTTGTGTCCAGTTGTTACCAAAGCCAGTACACCGTTTTCGAAATTGATTATTTCTGGTGGTAGACGATTCATTCTGTACTAATGTAGTAGTCTTCTTTTGTTCTTGCATCTGGACGCCAGCATTGGATGAACCCCAACTGCTAATGGTATTGTTAGGAAATTTTTGGCATTCATTTTTCCTTAAGGATTCCAATGGAGCTGCTGAAGGATAATATATAGGTTGAAGGGCACCAGAAATCGGTAATTGTGTTGAAGAACCACTACTTACAGCAGAAATAGTTGATGTTTGAGAGCTGGTTGACATGACGTTCCCATCTTTTCTAAAAACCGGACTAGGCTCACCAGAGGAGCTCAACATGTTGCTATCAGACCACAATAGGCTGCTTTGGGAAGAATGAGGACTATACTCATCACTCTGTGGCGTAATGTTTGTCAAATTAACATACTCTGATGACATAGGGAAACCATCTAAACAATTCTGTTGAAGCTTTTTACATTGATTCTCAAAGTTGCCTCGTAAAACACGAGTATGGTTTTCCTGTTTTGGAAAGTCTAATGCAGATTTTCGGTTTATATCAGCCACAAAGCCATTCTCCTTGGAAATCTGCTGCCCACAGAAGTTCATTTGCGAAACAGAACAGTTATTTTTAAGAGAACTGGCATTGAAGTCTTCATATCCTTTTTGAATTGGTTGTTTTTCCTGCAAAACCTTGCCCCATAGTTCACCATGAGGACCATAACTACTTTCAGAATTCTGACTGTGATCTTTAATTCCAAATGTTACAAATTTATTCTCTCTAAAACAGTCAGTTTTATAGTATTCATTGCGTGTGTTTGTGTTACTATTGCCACAATTATTATGAAAGTTATGTGCAGTAAAATCAGAAACTCCCCTTTCTGTTTCCTCAAAATCTCGTATACAACAATCAAATTCCTTGGCCTGGAAGGTGAAGCCTTCTTTACGAGGCATAACATTGTTTCTTGTTGAGGATGAGAAATCTCTGGGTTGAGAATCACACTGATTGGTATCCTTGCTAATCATGGACTTCCATGATTCTGAAAGATTACAACTTTGAAAATCCTGAAAAAGTTCATCAAATTTTCCTGTTTCAGATAATGCCTGAGAGTTTTCTTCATAGTACTGAGAAACGCCTAAACGATTTGCAATTCTACTGTGATCCATGTTATTTTTCAAAGTTGGTCCAATAGAATCCCCATTTGCATTCGACCAAATTGACTGAAATAACCTAGAGGATGAACCCCTGCAGGAAACAGAACAATTATAGCTCAAAGCATCAGCATAAGTTTTACAATTAGTGTCAGATTTGGACAGATAGTGCTTTGCAGTATACTTCCATCTACCGATAATATAATTAACTTAACTTATTGCTGAAAAATTGCACATGAAAAGAATGTTTCTCAGTAACAGTGAAGGAACAGCAATATACTTGACTTGGAGGTGAACTTGCATGCAGCATTGTCTGCTGCTGTTACCATTCTAGCTGGTAGAGGTTACAGGTTTGGAAGGTTCTGTTGAAGGAAGCTAAGCAAGTTGCCACAATGCATCTTGCATATGTTACACAATGCCACTACTGTGCATTGATGGTAATGGTAGGAATGAATATTTAAGATAAGGGTGGAGTACCAATCAAGCAGTCACTTTTGCTCTGGACTGTGTTGGGTTTCTAGAGTACTAATGGAGCTGCATACACCCAGACAAGTGGAAACTATTTCATCACATTGCTAACCAGTGCCTTGTTGATAGCAAATAGGCTTTAGAGAATATCAGGTGATGTTACTTACCTCAGAATTCCCAGATTCTGACCTGCCATTGTAGCCACTGGCATATCTAATTTAGTTTCTGTCAATGTTAAACGATGAGGTCAGCTATGATATCATTGAATATCATGGGGAAATGCTAAGATGCTCTCTGCTGCAGACTTCCTTAGTGTGGCATGAAACAGCACAAGCATGAATGTCATCCAGGCTTTGCTGCATGTGCAAAGTCTGCCTCAATCCGAGGAGTCACACATAATGTTATGTGATCATCAGTGAATGTCCTCAGTTCTTGCCACATGTTTGAGGAAAGGTTATTTATGAATCAATTGAAGATGATCAGGCTTGGGTCACAGCCCCAGGAACACTTGCAAAATCCTGGTGTGATCGAAGTACACCCACAATACAGTTGGAGAGTTGCAGGATTGTGACCCAACAACCATGCCAATGCAAGGAAGCTTTGGTGTGTACATCAATATAAAATATATAAAGATGCTTTTACAAAGCACACCAAAACTATATTGAATACTTCTCAGTGTAACAATGCAAGAAAATACTAAATGTGAACTGCCACTTTCAAATTCAAATGACAAACTTCACAATTCAGATGCATCAGTGGAATGCAACAGCCTAAATTTGTTGTGACTCTAAAAATCAGTAAAATTTAACTTACCAGTCAGATAATGATTCTGGATTGTCAGGCTCATCCAGTATGCTGGAGACCAGTCCAAATAAATCAGGTGTATTTCCGGAATCTGACAAACTAAACTGGGCCCTGAAATAAGAACATTTCTATAATTAATATATTAATCATATTTCCGTTCCCTGGCATAGAAATTTATACAGTTGAAAGTAAACTCTGCTGGATTATTAGTATTTCACATTTTCTGTTTTTATTTTTAAAAGATAGACAAATATATTTATGCAACATAAAAACAGACAAGAATAGAAAAGACTGCTGCAATCTATCTCTCCAGTACAGAAGCTTCTAAAAAAAAAGGCACTCATCCCTTAAACAACTGAATACTTCCCTCTGCCAGAGAGAGAGGGAGAGAGAGAGCTTGGCAACTTCATGAGTTTATTAAAACACAGCATGACGGTGTGGTCTCCCTGTGTAGATTATGAAGTTGTTATATCTGAACTGTTCATCTTCTGAGTTCAAACATGTGCCCAAGGTTAAGAGTTTGTCATTACATCCAATTATTTGTTAGGGCCCACCTTAGCTATAATTCTTAACTTGCTGAGCCTGCTACTTTGGTCTCCATTAATAACTCATGTCCAATCTCAGTATCAGTTCAGTTGACATCCTCCGTACCAACATCACAAGGATATCCCCTCTGTATTTTCATAGTTGTACATGCATCATCCTACTAATACTTAGTACAAATTCACTTATTATTCTCTAGAACTGGCTATAGAACTAGCTATAGACTCTTAAGTTAATGATTTTGGTTCATTTTTGAATTTTGCACAGTATAAAAATTAGGAAAAATAAAATTCAAAAGTTCATTGGAAAGCAGAGGAGACATTATTCACAAAAAATTGTGCACAATATTTGTAATCAGTTCATTTCAGTGAATTATCCACGAGAACAAAAAGGAACTATACAATGATTCTTCACAGTGATTTTATTGTTACTGAAACACTATATAATAAAGACTCATTTAAAAGCAAATTATTACAATTCAAACTTTTTGAAGTACTTCACAAAAAGAGAGCTATTTAGAAATGAAGCGTCATTATGTAAGTAACATAGATGCCATTTTACATATAGTAAAATTATGTCATAAGGAGGAAAGGGAATTAACACTCATGTTTCAAAAATGAGATTCCAGTATCCAATTCGTGGCAACTTTCAGTTCCCACATTATTTCCTTATTTGTGCCTATCAATATTAGGAATATTATCCATATCTAGCACTCAGGGGTTCAGGATATTAGTTAAAATGCACACTAAAGTAGCCCAAAAAGCTAAATGCCTTAGACCCAAACTCAAAATATCTTAGTATAGCAGTATACATCACAGTACCTAATCCTCATCAGGTTTAACATTATTTGAGGGCATTAGCATGAGTCGGGGGCGTAGTGCTAACGTCACTGGACTGAAAATTCAGAAAGAACCTCAGGGTACTGGGAGGCTGAGGGGTGCCCTTATAGAGGTTTATAAAATCATGAGGGGCATGGATAGGGCGAGGAGCCAAAGTCTTCTTCCCAGGTTAGGAGGGTCCAAAACTAGACGGCATAGATTTAAGGTGTAAGGGAAAAGATATAAGAGAGACAGGAGGGGCAACGTTTTCATACAGAAGGTGGTGTGTACATGGAACAAGCTGCCAAAGGAGATGGTGGCAGCGGGTACAATTATAACACATAAAAAGGCATCTGGATGGGAACATGAATAGGAACTGTTTAGAGGGATATGCGCCAAATGCTCGTAAATGGGACCAGATCAGTTTAGGATATCTAGTCGGCGCGGATTAATCAGATGGAAGGGTCTGTTTCCGTGCTGTACAACTATAATAACTACGATTCTATGACTACTATTCTGAGAACATGAGTTTGAATTCAAAAACACATCTGGAATTAAAAGTTGGCCATCTAAAATCAAAATGCACCATGTAGTCAATACCAATTATTGTACAAGCACTAATATCTTTTGGAGAAGGAAATCTGACATCCTTACCTGAACTGGCCTACATGTGACTCCAGCTATGTGGTGACTCTTGACTGCCCTCTGAAATGGTCTAGAAAGCTACTCAGTTATATCAAATTACTACAAAGTCTAAAAAAAATGGACAGAATCTAGACAGATGACCCAGCATCAACCAAGGCACTGGGAATGATAATGGCAAACATAAACCTGTTAATCCTGCAAAGTCCTTCTTAAATATATCTGGGTAGCTAGCAACAAAATTGGGAGTGTTGTCCCACAGACTAGGCAAGCAACAGTCTGACATCTGCAATATAGTCATGTCTCAACGAATCCAATATCCAAAACACCGTCATGACCATCACCGTCATGAGGTGTCATGCCTCAATGGCTGGACACACCCACCAAAGATGGCAGCATGGTAATACACAGTTGGGAAGGAGTTGTCTTGACAGTCCTCAACATTGACTCAGACGTCATGACAACTCATGGCATCCAGTCAAAATGGGCAAGGAAACCTCCCACTGATTATCAATTACCACCCTCTCACTCAAATAATGAATCAATACTCTATATTAAATTTGGAGGACAGACCGAGTGACAAGAGCACAGAATACACTCGGGGTGTGGGACTTCATGTCTATCACTTACAGTGGCATGATAGCACCATTACTCATCTAACTAGCTGAGTTTTAAACAATACCTTCCAAATCTGTGGCATCTAGCATCTAGAAAGACAATATCAGCACATACATGAGAACACCACTGCCTGGAAGATCCCCTCCACAGCATATACCATCCTGATATGGAACTATATCACTGTTTCTTCATGGTCACTGGATCAAAAATCATGGAACTCCCTTCCCAACAACATTGTGAGTGTCCCTTTACCCTAAGAGCTAGTGGTTCAAGGAGTCCAATTCCATAGGTCTTTAAAGATCAGCAATAAGTAAAGTCTAGCCAGGAATATCCATATCCCAGGAACATTAAGTTAAAGTACAATGAACATACCACCTAACCTCAATGGTGACACCGGAACAGCACTGATTCTAACTACGCACTTAACACTTTATATTGACATTAATACCCAGCAGTTTCTGAATAAAATGAAATTGCTTTACCTCTGTTTAGGTCCATCATGAAAAGTAACTGGAGGTACACTATCGTCAGCAAACACAGACCAATGGCTGTATAAAATAGCTGGATCCACAGAAGGTGTAGAACTGCTGATGCCACTTAACAGAGAAGTTGAGAAAAGCTGCTGTTCCATGTTATGTCCTTACTAAACTACCTGTTAAATAATTAGAACTTATTACAGAAATGTTTCAATTGTTCACCAGCTCCAGCACACATTAAATGAACACCACATTATCACACATTTTATATCAATGTGTAACCAAATATATCTCTCATATTTTCATATGAAAATGGACCAAACACAACAATCCCACAATCATCAACAATTTTATGTTTAATATGGGAAACTTTGGATTTGGTCTAAGTTAAGACTCATACTGATAATTTCAAATAATTTCAAAATGTGTGTTAAAATCCAGAAATGTCAAGGTTCTCAGCTAAGTAAGATGCTGATTTTTGTCTTGGATATAACATAGAGTCTAAATGTACAAACTTTGAATGCTGGTCTGCTTCAGAATTCAATATACCCATTTGACAGAATCCAATACTCCTAAAGTAGCCAACAGCCTTTTCCATAAATACTCCAGTTTTGTACTGCCAAGCAACCATGTTCAACTTTCTCCATTCACTTGTTTCTTCATCAATAAGACAAAAATTAAAGTGGTGTCTTTAACTATTCCTATACTTAAAAGATTGTTGGCAGATTATATTCTACGTTAAGACTATTGGATTGATGAATGCCGAATACCTCAATGCCCAATCTGCAATGTTATCAATAAATGTTAAACACAATGATGTGAGCTCTCGTGAGTTTCTGTTTCAACAATGGGCAACATTATATTGGGATTTGCACGTTCATCATCATCATCTTACTGTGTTTGGGACCAGGAATTTTATTTACATTAATAAGGACCACGAGTCTGACATTCACAATCATGCTACCTAAAAAAAAAAAGAAATATTAAGCACTGTAACCTCACTTGCCCTCAAGGACATAGGAACAGGAGTAAATGATTCAGCTGATTGAGCTGGTTCTGCCATTTCATTAGATCGTGCCTGATCTCCTACTTCAATGCCACTTTCCCCGCACTCTGTCCATATCCTTCAATGCGTTACATCGGTCAAGAAAAATGAAATCAACATGTTTCTCCACAGATGCAGCTTGACCTATTGAATAGAACGAAGAACAGTATAGCACAGGAGCAGGCCCTTTGGCCCACCAAGACTATGCCAAAACACAATGTCTTTCCAAACTAAACACCCTTTTGCCTCCATGCGGTCCATAACCCTCTATTTCCTTCCTATTCATATAGCTGTCAATATGCCTCTTAAACGTTGCTATTGTATCCGCCTCCACTCCCTCCTCTGGCAATGCATTACAGGCACCTACCACCCTCTATGTAAAAAAAAACTGGTCTCTCACATGTCCTTTCAATTTACCCCCTTTTACCTTAAACATATATCCCCGAGTAACTGACATTTCTACCCTGGGAGAAAGACTAACTATCCATTCTATCCATACCATAATTTTGTAAACTTCTTCAGGTCACCTCTCAGCCTTCAAGGTTCAAGTATAAACAAACCAAGTTTATCCAATCTCTTTTCATAGCTAATACCCTCCAAACCAGGCAACATCCTGGTAAGCCATTTTTTATACCCTCTCCAAAGCCGCCACCTTCTTCGGGTAGTATGGAGACCAGAACTATACACAATATTCCAAACTAAAGTTCAATACAGCTACTCTATGTCCTAACCAAAGACGGCAAGCTTGTATATGTCTTCTTGACCACCTCATCCACTTGTGTTGCCACTTTCAAGGAACTGTGTACCTATACTCAGAGATCCCTCTGATGCTACTGACAGTTCTGCCATTTACTGTATACTTCCCTCCTGCATTAGATCTCCAAAAATGCATCACACCACATTTGTCTGGATTAACTCCATCTGTCATTTCTCTGCCTAAGTTTCTAGTCCATCCTGCTGTATCCTCTC